GCTGATTGGCCTGATTTACTTAATAATTATTCCTTTATTACATGTAATAGAAAAAAATGGTTCAGGACTTTTCGACTCAGTTTTTCATGAAGAATAACGCTATGTGCTTAGTGGGCGTTCTTTCGGTTACACCCTGTATATATTCCCCATCTCTAGCCTCCGAGCGATGACCCTCCGCCTCAGTGTAAAATTCGCGATATCACATTCATCCACACGATTACACACCTAAAAATTGTAATACTAATACCATTAAATGAATAAATTAATAATGTACGTAGCATAATTTTTCCGTTTAATTAAGACGACCTCTCATCATTCCACATCCTCAATCGATCGCACGATCTCGTTCTTAGTCCGTGGAGTTAATTCTCCAGACTCAAAAAGAGACCGACGAGCGAGGCTTCATAGGATAAAGTAAGATCGGCATACGCCGTTGACCTATCTGTGAGAGCACACAAACTCGCTCGACTCTGTCGCAGCGGGATCGCCAACCTGCTGTGCGGAGATAGACAGAAAAACGACAGCTCTCTGTTGCTCCACCATAGCCCGACCGTAACGGGCCAGGACGTAACACATGCTTAGGACAACTATGTAATGTAACCTTATACGCAGTTTTTAGCGAGAGCGCGCAAAGTTGCGAAGTTGCAGTTTTTAGCGAGAAGTAACAAAGACGTACTATTCACTTTTATATTCAAATTTTATTAAGATTTTTTTGTACATATTATTTACATGCGTCGCACATAATATCTTTTAACGCGCACGCTACTAATTCACAGTCTATAAGTTATAAGGAAAGTCGGGAATCGGAGTGGGATCAAAGTTTGCACATTAAAAAAACTCACATTTGTACTATAAAAGAGAATTTATTAGTTACTAATTAGTATTTATTATTAAGTATATTCATATTTTATAAAAAAATTGAACCATAAAAAGAAATCGAATAATATAAAAAACAAGTTACATGTATGTGTGGATATGTGTGTATATATATTAAAACCATATGTGTCAATAGTTTCGTTTTGCGCGATGTGCGCACATATTATTTACTAACAATATTAAACTAAGATATAAACTACGATATAATAAACTAAGATACAAACAAACAATAAACTAAAAATAAACTAAGATGTAATAAACTAAACTATACTCAAAACTATAAACTAAAAAAGCAGATTGACATCCCTGTAACAAAACACATTGTAATTAATTTTGCAATACACAATAAAGGAGTATATTTTTAATTGATTATTATATAATGACTTTTTACCTATTGCGGTTCCGGAGGTGGAGGAGTGTGTGGAGGTGTATTATTAAATATATGTATTTGTCCGAGTGCCACATTCATGTCTTGTATCATATCCTCCAAATGTGTTATCTCCATTTGGAGAATTCGCATCATGTCTCTCATGATATTGTTGGCTATAGTTCTGAAACATAAAAATACAGTGTATAATTTCTGAAAAAATAACCAGCCGTACATAATTGTAGTTAAAACAACCAACTTGTAAAGAGTAAAAACTATTGATGTACTTACAAGTTATGAGGGAGATGGTAGCTGTTCCATTCAAATGTGGCTTCTTCGTCTCTCCTTAAAATTTCCTCCATCATCCTCTGCAGGTGGCGTATCTTTAACACTAGCGTGTCTACCGTGTTCGCTAACGCGAATGCTGCTGGTGACACTACTTCATTCAATTCAATACATTCTTGTACAATATCCATTTTTATATGTTGGTTTTGACGTTCTGAATGAGACTGAGTAGCAGTCATCAAGCATCTTATCTTTTTATACTTTATTCTTTAAATGTATTTAGAATCTGTGTGTCTTTTCTCGTGTCCTGAAGGATGATGAACTTTTATCAGACTGCTACGTCTGTACATAGTCTATCTGTTTCTCTTTAGCTCTGCGATTATTTTATACTTGTAAGTGTGCATGAAACTAAAAGGTACAACCATGTCGCATCAAGACGCTGTTCTTTATAACGGATCATGTTGCATATAAACGTGTCGAAAATGTACGAATGTATTCATCCAAAGAAGTACACGAAGCAGACGAGAAATCGGACAAAGATATTGGCATATTGCGGCAGAATGTGTTACTTTTTATTGTTATAGTAGTTTTATATGTTGTTATATTTGTATTACATTTTTTACTTATAATATCTTACTTCTAATGTTTTATTTACAATAGTTTGTAATATATATTGTTCTTTTTATATTGCTTATTCTCATAACGTTGTGTATACATTAGTATATAATAAATGTATTAGTTTGCACAAATGATTTCTTTATTATTATTACAACCTGTTGTCTAATCCAACCCAGATTTCCTTTCGATACACAGAACTAGAGTAAGTAATAAAATATGTATACTTTGTCATTGTTATTTCTTGTCAAAAAACTTTGCAACTTAGTCATATTCGTCTTGCTTTGCACTGCGTTCTACACGTATAATATGAAATTGCAATTCTGCAACTGTCTCGTCTTACTCGCTTCGCACCGCGTTCCGAAACATAATATGTATAATCACACATACAAAGAATATGTCGAACGATACATAATCAATCCACGTTTAATCCCGATTGTACCATGTTCAATAATACTTGAACCGTGTGTAACCACAAATAAACCGCAAACAAACTACGTTCAACCATAATCGAACCACAAACGTACCCCTTTCAATCATAATCGAAACACGAATGTACCCCTTTCAACCATAAACGAACCACGTTCAACCATAATCGAACCACGTTCAACCATAATTGAACCGCGTTAAACCATAATCGAACTACGAACGTACCACGTTCAACCATAATTGAACCGCGTTAAACCATAATCGAACTACGAACGTACCACGTTCAACCATAATTGAACCACGTTCAACCATAATCGAACCATAATCGAACCATAAACGAACCACCTTCAACCATAATCGAACCACAAACGTACCACGTTCAACCATAATCGAACCATAAACGAACCACGCGTTCAATCATAATTGAATCACGTTCAACCATAATCGAACCACGAACGTACCACGTTCAACCATAATCGAACCATAAACAAACCATATTCAACTATGAAACCATGTTAAATCGCGATTAATCTATATAAACATATGCTATAGAAAAGAAGGGTAGTAAATGTACAAACAAAGTTTTTCATATAACATTTTATTGTCGTTTAGACCACCAATTAAATATTTTAAATACACTTTGTAATGCGCAGTGTTTCACATGTTTTTCACATTGTAGACAATTCAATACATTCAGTTTATTTAAAGAAGCAATATCGTCGTAATCGGCATCCAATGTTTTAATAATTAACCCATGTCGTACGTCACCATCAAGAATATCAGCTAGCCAGTTACATTTTTCGGGACCTTTAACATAGACGAGTGAAGACGCGTCGTCATCATTTTCTGCGGTACCGCAAATAGCTGTTGTAATCAAATTCTTTGCTCTGCGGTATGCAACACTTCCATCCTTCCAACGCAGACCATGATGATACATCATCAGCCACGAAACTGCTGATCTGTCTGATATTGCGAGTAGACTCCACGGGAAGGGACTTCCAAAAATGTAATGCGAGAAAACAGTGCCCTTTCGCAATACCGCTACTTCCTTGACAATAAATCTTTTTCCGACTACAAATCCTTGCAGGTCCACAAACGTCGGCACAATCATGGCGACGTAATCGTGTGACCAACAAAAGACAAATGCTATCTATCGTAAAATACTGTCGCTCTTAAACGATTTTCAGATTATAGAGGAGAGAAGCGCTGATGTTGCAGTTTATGTAATTTTGCGCACTACGTTGGTTAACGGATTGTATTCAATAACACGATCGTGCAAAATGGGACAATAGGCTGTAGTATTTGCTAGTATATTTTCTTTGCAATCGAATTCAATTCGCACATCGACGGTTGCACTTTTGACCGCCTCGTTTTGACGCGAACAATCAATGACCACTAAAGGGCCACATTGCAAAAAGTTGGAAATCGTGAGAAACGGTACGACAACACCACATCCGTAATACGCTTTACGGAAATGTGTGTACATATTGGTACAGAACAGCATATTTTTTTCTATCGAAATCTAAATGCAAGTCGTCATAAGGATAGAATTCAGAATTGAGATAAAGTTTTACGTTGGTCAACTGACAGTGATCGAATCGCGTGACATCTGCTGACATATCGTTTCTTCGAGCAGTCTGTAGCGCAAATATGAGGTATCTCGGTTCCTCAAGTTGTGTTGCCGTTTTTACGGCTCACGAGTGTTTAATCGTGCTTTGTAATAATGGAAACTCATAGAGATCCCACGAGCGGAAACTCATGGTCAAATACCGTCCGCTTTCCAGAGTTCGTAGCAGCGAGAGCTTCGTGACATCGTTCAATACTACATGAGGCATTTGCCATTGTATTTTAAATAATTCAATTTTTTCATCTAATGCTTCACTATTTACCTCAGAAACTGCTGTTATGCAGTTTTTGTCGTTGTGCGATCGTATTAAAATTAGTTCATGACGTGCATTAATAATGGTACGCTTGTAGTCCTCGCAAAATTCTAATATCATGCTGAGATGTACGCAGAAACTAAAGTAACTATCTACGTCCGTATGTTGTGTAATATCCCATCTAGCATTCTTCATGGCCATGCTTTTATCATGTGTTAGCGATACATAGTTTTTGATTGTGCTGGTTATTCCAACGTTTCTATTAAAATCAATCTCCATACCATTGAGTTCATAGCGAATTTCATCGAACATAAAAGCCACACAATTATTACCTAGAAATACTTCTTCGTCTTTCGTCGTTAACGTCATTTTTCCTTCGACGTAAAGAAAACTTTGACACGGTAAAGTGTACAAGTCCTGCTGTTGTATAGGTATGCGTATTCCATCACTGTGTTCAAATGTTGTGTTCACGTACGGATTGTACGTGTGAGTTTTAATCTTAACGATGCGATCGTCAACGATCGGCTCACCTCCAACGTTTAAAATGTCGCACATATTTTCAAAATTCTCGTACAATAAATCCCAACGATTGTAAAAATTCAACGTTTGTCGAACTTAGCTTCTTTCGATTACTGTACGTCGTAGTAGTAGCAGGTGTTTGTAATGAAAACCTTGTATCTCGCGTTACTTGATCCGCCTCGTTTAGCACGAGCATGCCGCGTATTACAGCCGTCGACGTCGTACGTGTAATCTGACAGTTATTTCTTCTCCTCGAAAATCAAGCAATTGTCCGTTCTGATCCACAATGCGTATCGTCAGATTCGTAATGCTCTGTACGATGATCGGAAGATAAATGATTTGTGCCGGTGTTTCCGAGATCTTATATCCTGGTGGCACGTTCGGTGAGAATTCATGTATTGTATGCACACACCGGTTGTTGCTGTACGCACCCGCAGTCACGTTGCACTTTATGCGAATCATGTTTACGTTGATAATATTAATCGGCACGTTTGATACGTACCATTGTAGCGGCTCTAAAATACGAGTTGAGGAAAAACCTAACAACGATCCAATGTTGTCGGGTTTGGTAAAATTTATTTGATAAGCGCAGTTTATTTCACTTTTCATTGTATTAGTGTTTGCGCGTAATATTAGTGGAGGGATATTCTCATCTTTATCTTTGCTTCTTACATTACGTTGCATCATTGCATGTTGCAGATAATTGTTAATATCCCGCAATTCGTACAATCTGTCAGGAATTATAATCTGCTTGTCATCTGTATCGTAATAAAACTTATTGTTCGACGAATTCACATTCGGTATCGTATGATACGTTTCAAAATCTGTTAGTTCAAGCTCGTAATCACCGTCACTTAAATCAATGGCGGGAAAGTAGCTGACTGCAAGAGTGCTACTTTTGCCGGTAAGTGTGAACGTCAGTGACATGTTGTCGAATGTGTAATGAAGTCAGATAGCGTACTATTTAAATGAATATTGCTTATCCACGGCTTGAAAAAACCGCAAACATAGTTGGCCACAATTGCTTTGATTGTAACGTTGATAAGACGTACGGTTATATTCTATTTTGTCCACAGCATGTTCTAGATAACGCATCACCTCTTTCGGTGGCCGAAGATTGCTGAAACTGTCGAAATATATGACATGTTTTCCTCTTTTCGCATACGCCACCCAGTGGGTACCTGGTCCATTTGTATCGTCTAAATTGACGATACCACTCTCGTTGTGACGTACTACGTTCGGTAAGGTATTACGCATAAAAACACCTTTAAAGAAAGGTATGCGCATGCGCTTAGCTAGCTGTTCTAACTGCATATTTGTTGTTAAACCTGTAGGTAATTTTAATGTCTTTTCAGCAATTTTTTTCTTCTTCTTTGAAAGTCCCCGTCCGTATGGAGTCAGATAAATTCCCCGACCTTTCATCGCGCGATTATGACGCTGCATTTCTTCTAGCTGTCGCTGCGTAGCTCTTGTATCATTTACCGTTTTTGCAACCCCCGCCGCTCCACCAACGAGTGCACCGAGAGCACCCAGCAGTGGTAAAACCGGTAACACACCACCGCGTTTAGCAGTCGGAAGTATTCGCTTCCTTTTTGCTGACTTGTTTTTTTTTTTTCAAACCCATGCCGAGTTTTGTCTTTGTTTTCATAGCCGCCCACACGGCGGTCGCAGCGGCTTTCTCACCGAGACTCGAGTCTACCGCTGTAATGCGATCGCGCGCCTTTGTAGCGAGTATCTTATCAGCCACGTGTCGAGCAGCGAGTTCGTTGCTTCGCGAATAAGCTATATCGTGTTCACGGCAAGCCGCGTCTAATGGATTAATTCCCCGATCGCTTCTAGCTAATCGTTTCTCTAAACGCGTTCCTGGGCCACAAAATTGGTAACCAGGAATATGTAATTCAACGGGAAGAGCGTTTATCACGCAATTTAACAATCCACGACCTGACATAGATTACAACATACGTTTGACATCATCTGTCTACTGACGACTGAGTAGACACGCTCGACGCGTCACTATAAATAGGTGCTACTTGTTATCGCAAGACAGTTGCAAAGAAACCATGCAGTTTGTGCGGCAACCTAAAGTAATCAAAGTAACTAATTTCGACAGCAAAACTCGACAAATGTTTGACAAAAAAATACGCAGACATGGAATAATGCTACGGGCGTGTTCCGTTTGACCACAGTACGATTCGACACCGCTCGATTCGACACAGATTTATTCGACACCAAATTATTCGACACCGTACGATTCG